TCCCAGTTGAGAATGCGGTCTTTTCCTTGTCCTTGGGATCCAAATCCACCTGCCAATAGCCGCTTTTCAGATCGAGCGTTGAAAACCATTTCATGCCACTCAATGTGTCAAGTGTGTCATCGATTCTTGGTAACGGGTAACTATCCTTCTTGGTTACATCATTCAATCGTCGATAGTCTACGCAAAACCTCGTTGAACCATCTTTCTTCTTGACAAGCACGACAGGTGAACACCAAGGGCTAGAAGAGGGCTCTATCACGTCATTTTTCCTCATATCGTCAATCATTTCTTCAACCTCTTTCTCACGAGCGAATGGTATGCGTCTGGGCCTTTGACGAATTGGCATTGTATCACCTGTGTTTATTTTATGCTTCACCAAACCAGTTCGGCCAATATCACCATCGCTTCTTGAAAACACATCAGAGAATCGAAGAAGTAAATTTCTAGCTTTCATAGTCTCCACTTTTGTCAGACTTTTGTTTTCGTCTAAGATTTTCGTTACAAAGTCAATTCCCGTACTGTCCTTCTTCACAAGATTCTCCGAGCATTTTCTTATCCAGGCCACTTCTTCCAATACGCCCACAGGCTCTCCTTCTTCAATCGTAATTTTTGAATCACTGAAGTTGAATACCGGAATGCGGTTGACATCAGATGACCCCACGACAGTTCTTGCCGGTAGCCATGAGCTTACGTGTTCCGATTTATCAATCACAGCGCACCTTCGAGGTAAACTTCCTTCCTTCCTCTTAGGTAATGCGATTGGTACGAGAGTCTGTGATTTTGGTGCAAGAACAGTTCTTCTTAAACAGCAAACTTTTCCCAGGGTTCCACCCTTCATCGGAATTTCCTCAGTTCCACATACTAAAACTCCAGATTTTAAGTCGATGTTACACTGGTGCCCTTGCAGGAAGTCAAGTCCCAGGATGCAGTCATCCAGAATTTTGGCCACAATAACCTCATGTCGATAAACACGTTCCCCAATTTTGATTGTTACATGCAGTTTTCCACTTATCGGTATGCACTGGCCGGTAGCTGATTTCATTTGTAGGCCAACAATTGGTTTAAGGTGTTTCCTGATGTTTTGCTCGAGCAGCCGAACATTTATCACCGTCCTTGAAGCTCCAGTATCTAATGTTAGCTGACTGTTTTTCCCATTTACTTGACCGTCTATCACCAGAGTATTTCCATCGTTGGTTTGCTTGATGTAGATTGTTGGGGTTGTTCCACTACCAGCCAGCGCCCACCCCGCAGCCCTGGCTGGATTTAAGTTTCCCTGCTGGTCAGAAGTTGAGACCGCCGCGTCCTGGCGGTTCATCTTCTTCGGGCAGTCGCTCCGTATGTGCCCACGCTCTCCACATCCATAGCACATGAAGTTCCGACGGCGTGGAGGTACCTGCTCCGTTGTCGTCATTTCCCGCAGACGTAAGGTACGGGAGTTACCACGCACGGCTTCCACTTCCAATGCATGGGCCAGAGCTTCTTTCATGTTCTTGTGATGGCCCAGATGAACAGCGGCTCGTACTTCGGGGTCCCGAATACCGTCAATGAACGCTTGGAGAAGCGTGCCTTCAATCATTGACGGAGTCGACCGGAAAGCTCGACGCACAAGTTTCTCGATTTCCACGGACCATTGCTGTAGGCCCTCATTAGCACGCTGAGTACGCTCTTTTAATTGCGCTCTGTACACGTGCTCGAGGTGGCTGTCTCCAAAACGTGCCTCAAGTGCGTCGAGGAGGGCACTAAAGCTGAGATCCCCACTTGCGCCGATAGCTTCCAGCACTGAGAGCGCTTGATCACGGAGGGCCAGGATAAGGGCTGACTGTGCTTCCTTCTGAGTCCAACCATAAGCCTCCATAAGTGTCTCAAACTGTAGCTTGAACGCGGTCCAGGATGTTGTTCCGTCGTAATGGGGAATCTTAAGCCCTTTCGTTGCACCTGAAGCCGCATTCGGGGCTTCAAAAACGGCTGCAAGACGGCTTCGGCTCTTCAAAGGGCTTGGGGTTGTCACTTCCTGCTTGATTTTGGAGATCTCTTCTTCCACTCTCTCGTCTATCGCCTTGACGCGATGTTCCAACTTGCCTAACCCTTCCTCCACTTCTTGTACCCGTTCGACAGCCTTTTGCAGTCCCTTCGTGAAATCCTTATGCATGTCTTCCAAGCGACGCGCTTGCTCCTCTTGGCGGCGAGCTTGATCCTCTTTCAGCTCCCGTAGCTGCTCCGCCTGACAGCGTGCATGCTCCTCTTGGCGACGAGCTTGCTCCTCTTGGCGACGAGCTTGCTCCTCTTGGCGACGAGCTTGCTCCTCTTGGCGACGAGCTTGATCTTCTTTCAGCTCCCGTAGCTGTTCTTCTTGGCGGCGCGCTTGCTCTACCATCATTTGCTGCAGCTGTAGCAGTAGATCCACCTGCACAGGCTTGGCTTCTGCATCGCTGGTTTGAGCTGCAGCACTCTCTTCCCTCACACGCTGCGCTTCTGCCATTGCACGGGTACTCACTCCTCTTACGTCCTGCGGCACTAGCGGCATTTTTCTCCAATCCCACTTCTGACACCAAATGTTACGTGCCTGACGTCACGTTCCTGACTATGCGGGCTTGGGTTACGGGATTGGATGAAATGAAACACTAATACCGGTTTTCAGACTTTCTATTGCACTTAAGTTACAGCGTCCACGGAGTTAAGTTATCGGCGTTCTTCTTCAGCAGAGTCCGGCCGACTGACACAACTTTGCCGTTCACGCTGACTTAACTCACTTAACTGACTGCACTTCACTATTTCACTGCACTTCACTATTTCACTGCACTTCACTATTTCACTCACTTTTCTTCTTTTTCACTTCCTCCTTTTCTTCCGAATCACTTTAGACTTAGAAGTCAACTGCCAGCGGTGAGCCGCAGTTCTGCTTATATACCCCCGGTCAGGTTCTGGAACATTCAATTTCGTTATTCTTTTTGATCGTCATGCCTCCAGAACCTTCCAATAATTTCGCTATTCATTTTTATTTATTCTCCTTCTCACTCTTTAATTTTTCATCTCTTTCACACAAATAATTCCAGAAAGTTCGACAAAACTTCCATCAACTAAAAAACTTCATGTTTACGGCGGGACTCGAACTCGGGGTCTCTGTGGTGTAATCCACACGCCTTACCAATTACACCAACTCGTATTGACAATTCACGACGAAATTTACAATCTCTAGGCAACGTTTGACAACCATCCATTGACGTCATGATGTCAAAGAGTTTGAACCACTTTTCCGTCACAATATCTTAGTAAAGGTATAGGTATGCACCTTTTTGTTGTTTTAATGCCTACATTATTTGTACGACCGATGCAAAATTGCTTGAAAAAAAAATGTAGTGTAGCTCTATAATTCCGTATAATGTCTACTAGGGATCAATGTACACAAGTACCTACTTCATTAACATATTTACAATGTAACTACAAATGGAAGCTTGTAAAAATGAGTGACAACAAAACTGTAACCGCTGTACACACTGTACGTGGATAATTTGTTTTCTTTGTTGATAACGTAATGGCAGCGTTGAAAATGAACTGTCTCTTATCTGCCGCTCGAATTCTTTGTCAAATATTTTTAGATTACACAGACAGTGTCCTTAACTGTACTTAAACATAGAATATATTCGAATTAATATGAAAAATGAGGGCGTGATAGATCTAGGACGCCAGAACAAAAAAGAAATAAGGTCTATTCTATAAATCATTGCGAGATGAAAAGTAAAAGTAAAGTACGACAGGTGCATATTGCATGGTCTTAGAAGCCACATAAGTGAACAAAACGCACATACCTGCAGTTACAATGGTAAACCACTGACAACGTATGTTACTCGATTTACTTACTGTATTCATTTCAGTTTAAAAGAATAATATTGCGTTACTTTTTGTCAATCTACATAGATATATCTACGTTAACAATACATGTTATACGTAGGTCCTGTGTTGTAAACTTTTTCTGTATCGGCAGCTGCTGAATTTATGCACAAACGTGTTGTGTAAAGTTGTCTTTTATAATTGTTGCAAGATTATACTTCCCAAGTGATCATCTTATTCAGTACGAGTTTTTGTGTTGTAGTTCTTGGAAAATTGAAGTTGAAGTTATTTCGACTCGGCACTACCGACGCCAGCAGCATACAAATGACTGATTCCTATAGTTTGTTATGCATACCTTGTAAGTCCTGCCTTTCTCGTGATCACCCTATCCTGTTTCTTGATTATTCTCAAATAGAATTAAACCTCTACTCTCTCATGTGACATTTAAAGCCTGTAGATAGATACGCCCTTACTTTTTCTTTCATTGTCACATCGATCAATTCCACTTGAATTAATAAATGCAACTGTAATACAATGCTAGTAAATGTATAGATTTGTGGTCTTGGCAGGCGACGGGAAAATTTCTCTTTTGTAGGTATACTTAGTTCTCCTTCGTATTGTGTTGTGATAGGCGCGGACAGTTCATAACAATAGACTCTCGACATAATGGGGCCATTGATTGTGTGGATGTATCATGAATGTGTGAGTAGTATTTGTACCGATCTTGCTGGTACCTATTTTGTATAAAGTTTGTCTTTCAAATCATATACGACAAATCATACTGTTTCTCTCACGCTTTTGTTGTTCATTGACCTGTTATGAGGAACTTACGAGGATTTAAAACCATGATGTATTAGCTAGCAACACTTGTGGTGTGCTAATTGTGCTATCTTTTCACGGATGAACGTCCTAAGTTAACATCTATTAATAGATGAAATCTTCAAACTTGATTAATTTTATTAAGTATATAAAATGTAGTTCTCTAACCGTAAAACATTTTTTTATAAATTGGGTCCTCACTTCGTGATATTACATAAAAACTTACAAACAAATGTTAACTTTTTATAATATTACTATAGACTGAACGAATTGATTAAATTAAGAAACACATTAAATACTAAGACTAATAATTTTCTTAACACAGTTTATTTATAAAAAAAATGTTGTTGCAGCAAAGAAACAAAATGGTTCAGCGGTACGCACGAACAGCCTGGGGTCGGGCGCGCGCACACCTCCGGCTGAACGGTCCAAATCCAAATTCTCAGCTTTTGGTAGACTTTTCAAGCCATGGAAATGGAAACGGAAAAAGAAATCTGAAAAATTCGAAGCTGCTTCTAGAAGTAAGTATCTATGCACCTGCTAACTAACTCCAATGTGTTATCTTAGAATAAGACTACATGGGGCGATAAAAGGCCATCACGATAACCGGAACCGGACGTGATTCACGTAGCTGTGGAATTTGAATATTTTTTGCTTTATCGATATAAACAATAACTCTCTTGCGGCTGCTTGTGAAATTATCTGTAGCTGTTATCTTGAGCCGTACCTCGGAATAACTGTGACCAACTATGCACGTACCTGTAAAGGGGATCTCGTCATTACTGATGAATCTCCGGTATCAGATAACACATTGCCTTCAATCCCTTTGGTGAACTGATTAGACTTAAGGTAGATACTGTATTTTATTATCAATTTACGTTTGAAATAGTGTGGATAAGGTTGAATACATATTCATTGTTACCGTTTGCAGCATTAGAGAGGAAGATATCCGTCCGAGCGAATAGAGATGAGTTGGTGCAGAAAGGTATCCTCTTACCAGAGAGCCCCGTCACGCCTGTGCCCGAAGTTGGTGAGTATGGAGAACGCTAGTTTTCACTTGCTAATTAGGTATATAGTAAAAGTCCTTTAAAATATTCGTTAAAAACATATTGGTCCCATTATATATGTTTCCGTGCCCTGTTTTTTACTCTGTATACTTGTCATTTTTGACATTGAACAAATTGCAATATGAACGACGATATTAGAAACGAAAATATGTGCGATTTGGCAATTAATGAAAATTAATAGAGTTGGACAGAAACATCAAAATTATTTATACCTATATAAAAAAGTTAATTTCGCAAACTGGGTTTGAGGAATATGATAGATTGCACCGAATAGAGAGCGATAAATTGTAGATAGCCATAAAATAAACATATTCCTTTAAAAGAACCGGCCCTTGTTACTTCCCTTGGCGTCCTCTAGTGTTGGAAGTGACCATATACGTATATGTATTTATGAGCGACCCTGATCGGGATATTATTATTAACTGCATCTCTTCGAATTTTCTTCTTGTGGTACGCACTGTCCTAGTTACACAGTCCATGTTACTTTAGTTTTTTTGTACGAATAATCCAATGTAATCGATTACCTAATTACTATTAATAGATTTACATATTTAGTAGATAAACAAACGTTATCTGTACGTAGATTAGGTATTAGTGCGTAGGATTTTATCAGTAGGTATCAATAAATATGAATGCCAGTTGTAATACTGGATAATGAATATAATGACTGTATAAGTATGGTAATCTTTATAATAATTTTCCTTGTCATTATTGTTGTAAGAAATTCCCGTCTCTTACGGAAAAATTAAAGATATAGTGACGTAATAGTATTTATCGGGTTTACCTGAGATACAAGCGTGGTCAACGGTCCAAAATGGATACCTATTACGTATCATGTTGGTATGCAGGTTTTATGTACTTTCAAAGGTCTAAAGGCTAATTGGTGTCTCTGACAAAGAAACTAAACCATTCAATTGAATTAAATATATTTCTTTAATAAAGTAATAAGTTATAATAAGTTCTTTTAAAAAAAAAAGTTCAAGAATGTCCATAATATATAATGAGACTATATTTAATCGTCACTAAACATATAACAGACAAACTTAAATAGGTTCTAATATACCTAATTATTTCACGTAACGGTAGTTGCATTAAATAACAGTAGATAATAATTAGATATGTGTAATTAGTCCAACATTAAAGCAGGTACCGTTCAAAACAGTATAGCTCAAAATATGAAGTCTCTTAAAAGAAATACTTGCTGTATACATAATGAGATAGCATGCGTGTAATTACAATTATATCTGTGCCCAGCGATATTGTGCTTAGCATACCTCTTCCGTGTACTAGGTATTAATCACTTATCAATATCGATCGATTTCCTTCAATACTGCAGTGCTGTGTAACGAAGTTTCGTACTGAATTAGCCCGTATAGAGCTAACAGCAAGAACCTAATTCAATACGTGACCGGTTCGTTGACATTCGAATGTAGACAGCCCATTCTTGGGATCATTCATACAAGTAAGTGCTCTACAATACAAATCCAATTACTTACAAACGTGGTCCATCGAATTGGCCCCACAGACGGAAGATTTTTTTTATATAAGGTTGAGATCAAAGTGTGGGAGAGCCATGCTTCGGTACGAATAGGTTGGCTCGACCGGAGAGAGAGATAGAGGAGAAAGATACTACGGTCACACAAAAAACGGCGTGAAACAACTACAGCGTTATGTTACGCCTCGTTAGTCGGCTTCCTTAGCCCAAAATCTCCAAATTCCTCATCCTCAAAAGGTCGGCAACGTACTCGTAACTCCTCCATTGTTGCCAGTGTCCATGGGCAGCCCTGAATGCTTTGCAGGTTGGCTGTCCTGTAACATAAAAAAATGGGACCCTTGTTTTTAACGGACCTTTGCTTAAATAGTAGAATAGAAAGATAGTCCTTTGAAATTTTATTAGAATTCGTGTGTTATTTTGCAATACTAATCTATTTGTTTTGTTTTAGATGAACCAGTGTCGCCCCCGACGGGTGGCGAGGAGGCGCGCAGTGATGTCAGCGCTGCACAAGCTAATCAAGACAGGCTCATGGGCATGCACGCCGCCCTGCAGGCGCAGCTTGCGTCGCAGCTGCAGCAGCAACAAGCTGCTATGGCTGCGGCCGTAGCCGCCGCCGCTGCCGCGCACCACCACCATCAAAACAACAATGTTATAGGTCAGTACTTAAATGCTTGGCTAATAAATCAATATTCACAGCAACACAGTCTAGTTTTAAGATCTCCTGCTATTGTAGATACAGACACGATTCGTTTATTATAGGTTTACGTTACGGTTTTACGTTTTGAGTTTTGACTCAGACAAGAGACAAAAATTAGTATTTAAATGTTCTAATTTCGAACGAAAGTTTGTTCATTTCGTGCACGTACATAATTTTAGTGGTAAAGTAAAGAAGAATGTTCATAGAAATAAAAGTGTTTTATAAAGTACACGTTATCGTAAATCTACGGTTTATGCAGAGATAACTCTTTACTATAATACTTACTTCATGCTCTCTACTCCGTCGTGACTCTTGAATGTTTCTCTAACAGCCCTGTGTTGTTAATTCCACGGTTTCATAAAATTTATTCATATCTTCATGTAATAAACTATCCGTAAGAAAATTCGCTTTGAAATCAAGACACTAGAAATCGTAATAAAACCTTTGGATAAGTAGTCTGCTTCCAGAAAGAGTCTTTTCTTTACATCATTGCCCCACAGTTCGAATTTCTACTATAGCTTAAAATTCACATGCACACGCCCGCACCCAGAACAACAATTTGTAAATCACACAAAAAGTTGTTCCGTGTGGGTATCGAATCCACGACACGCTGCTCGGCAGCTAGTTATCCAGCTACCGCGCCAACTGTGCAGGCTAGTCTGAAACAACTTAATTAAACTAGGTACAATACCTACGTTTATGAATGAACTGGATTGCAAATAGTGGGATATTGATAGTACGGAATTGTGTATAATAGATGCCTGGATCAAGGTAAATCAATAGATAAAAATATCACGCAATAGAAAATAGTTTATGCGTTAATCATCCGCGTTTTCCTCCTGCTTGGTAGTAATCTTTTTCCTTGTTTTTGCGTTTTAGTTAGTAATTGGCAAGATTTGACGGTATACAGTAGGTACTAAATTATTAAAGTCAAATTAAATAATCGATTAGATAGAGAGTGTAGGTAGTAGATTAAAAAAGTCAAATATCCTCCTATTAAACTCTACAATAAAGTTGTAATGTGTGTCATAGTGCTTGTTATTTAAAGTGCATTTTTGTTCTTAACTGTGACGATTTCATAAGCTTTTTTTACTTAACATACCTTTAAATAATGTCAATTAGGTATTTTAGTTAATTCTATGCAAAGTAAAGATGACACCAAAGACTTATGTCATATTTTATTTGAACATTCGATGAGTGACAAATTAGCATTTGCTATTTGTTCGTTTATCTTATGTAAAACTGATTTAATACGTGGAGGGCTATACAAAGCTTATTCAATATTGTCTCACTTGATAATTTGAGATATGAGGCTAAATAAATTTGCTCACGGTATACCACATGAAGGAAAAGGTCATATGTATGTATAGATAAAATAATTTACAAGGCAGATTAATTATTAATTAAAATTTGTAATGTATACAATAAACACAGCTCAATCTGTCATTTTGTTCGAGATATTACATTTTTATAATTATAAAAACTTTCCTATAATTATGTATTTGAAATGATCCAGTATATTCAAATTGATTTCCTTATTTTTTTCGTATATCTTTTATTTCTAACATTCTAATGGAAGTGTCATTTTAGAAATTGTAACAATTTATATTTACCACGAATCGCTATTCAAAGAGTATGAAGTAACGGAAATCGTAAAAGACATTTTTAATTTAATTTATACTAACAATATTAACCAGAATAGTTTTTACATTATTCTTACATGAAATGCTGAATGAATGCTGTTTAGTGCCAAAGTAGAAGCAATATTCGTATTACTATAACTAGCAAATCTCCCGCAAAAATCTTTAGCAGCTTTTCCTCTAATGAGTTTGTTTACGAGTTTAGTGAAAATATTTGAATTCATCTCTAAAAGAACGAGAGCCTGTATTTATCCATTGAACATTGTCCGTATTTTCGCCTATTACACATCTGGTTAATTCGTGACTGTTGTGATTATTATTAGCTGCTCCAGATTTGTATCAATAAAACTATGGATTCGTTCACGAACTTTTACAGTGTCTTGCTCCATGCTCTCCGCACTCCAATAGCGTGTATGAATTGGTCATAGATCTCTTTTTATTTCACCATTTCATTTATTCGTTCTGAATCATACATTCGCGCTACAAAAATATTATTATAATTTCCCATTCAACATTTATTATATGAAAAGGTTTTCCACTTGAGCCATTGTTTTCAAGAAATAGTGAAGTACCTCCTATTACTGTATCAATTGTTTCTAAGAGGATTGTGTCCGTGTCTATAGATATTGACGAAGATTCAGTGATTGGAAGTAATTGAACACATAAGTATGATATGAATACTTGTGAGATCCCATTACAATAGGTTTGATTCAAAAACCTTTTCAATGAAAATATACTGGAAAGTAAGATTGAACGTATTATAAAAACATATTCAATAAATGTACTTTAAAGTATTGAATCTGATTGAATTTAATTGGAGAATAGGTAGTGACGCGTGGCGGGAATTAACGACATCCTGACAGGACGAGCGTCGAACGTTGACCCACCACAAGCTGTCTAGTTGTCACAGAGCCACCGCAATAACGTGACGTCATTATACACGATATCATAAAGAAGGAATATAATCACGTGTGTATTATAATTATCACGTTGTGCTTAAAAGCTCCCACTTCTATTAATTAAACCTTTAGCTAATTCGTTACTTGTTTGTAAATGTTTTTTTAACCTAATTTCAAATTCGCGCGTGAAAGTATTTGCGGCTCTTTTATTAAACTGAACTGAATCTAGTTGGCAAAAATAGTACATTCTATTTTCTGCTGCTTCTCAGTCAATAGCATAATAATTTACTTCAGTTGTTTCTTCCTGTGAACTAGCTGTTTTGTCACTTCACACAAAAGTTTAGTAAAAAAGACATGACACTACAATAAGCAAAACTATAGCTATTGAGATTACAAAACTAAGACAAATGGGTGCTCTACTTAACAAATGGACATGTTACATAACTCATTATAAATTATGAAATCCTCTGCGGTTCTGTCAGCGTTAAATGGGTCGGTCGGCTAAAATTGAAATACGCATGTTCAGTGTCTCTCGACATCTGGGTGTGATGGAATTGTAAAGCATCGAGGCAGTAGTCGAAGTCTAGATTGTGGAGCCGGTGACTGGGGGTTGGGTACCGAGCTGCCGGCTGTAGGGCATGTGCGCGGGGTGCGGTTGTGCGGCGCGCGCCTCAGTGTCGGTCCGCCCGCGCCCGCGCCCGCCCGCGCCGCCGGCCCGCGACCTGCCACAAACCGACCCTCGCGTCCGCCTCTCCTAACCTCACTCGATTACCTGCCCACATACATATACCACCTGTCAAATCACTGGGATACAAAACGGCATTCTTTGCTTTTTTCATCTCAACCACCCTTGTAGAGATCATTGTAATAATCCAATGACTATACTGAAAGCTTTACAAGGTTCAGTGTGCTTTGTTTTGAATTTCTAGCATAGGTCTAAAACCCGAAAATTTGCAGTTGAGGACATAATATGCATCCCTATTCACACAAAACAAAACGTTTGATATTGCAGTGCGATTATAATGATGTAAGCTTTCCGGTTCGTTCTAATTGCAACAGTAAATTAGTAAATTAACAGTTCTGTTTCAGTGCCATGTTATTATACTAATAATAATACTTACAATTGATGCATTTAGATAATGTGATAATGTGCAAAAAGATATGTCTATACAGGTTCAGCGACAAAATTAATGTGTTGTTTTACTTGCACCATTCATTACAGAGCTTAAATGTGAAGGTTTTAAAGAAAATTGAATTATAGTAAGCTTTACTTTAAGTGCCATGAAAATGTTAAATAAGTAACAGTAGCTAAGGGACATAATAATTTTTCACAGAATTTGTAAGTTGCATATTCTATAATACCCAGTTTGGTACACTATTGCTTATATATAAGCTTTGAACCGGGTGAAGCAGGTTGGTGCAAGTATTGATTGCAGGGTTTTTTCGTGGGGCTAGGCATATGTTTTAGTTATGGTCGGTGGTTAGGTCTGAGGCGCGAACTTTGCGTGCGGTATCGATCGGCTCGGCCGCCAGCACGCGATCGCAACTGCTGCACCGACGTCGTCGCCCCGTTGCCCCGCGACGCTTGCATGACATGTGCTGCTGAACACTGACAACATCAAATATTCATACCAATTATTTCAAATTGCCATCGAGTCATGATGCCCTCGATACCTGTTATAGGTACACCTATACCATTCCGCATTGCGCACACTTTCTTTTCCTTTGTCCAAGCTTTTTCAGTATTGCAGTTGCAATTACAAAAAGTGAAGAATTATAGGTCAGTTGTTTGTAAAAAAATCAGTTATCTATTTGATCGTTTTGCAGTGTTAACTGAAGGTGTTTTGGTAGTTAATGTCATATAATCCGATATTAAAACAATGCCCAAAAAAATTCGGAGTAACCTTGTTCACATTTTATGGTTAACCGTTAAAATGTCTTGATGGGATGTAATGTAGTAAGAATGTGTGGGCCGGGGAGGGTTACGTGTGGTGGGTAATAGCTGGCGCGGTGTCGCGAGCGCCACCGCGCGGCAGGCGCGTGCCGCCGCCACCTCCGCCGCCGCCGCCGCCGCCACCACCGCCGGCGCAGCGCCTCTCTATGATGGGCTTCATCATGGGATGTGCCTGCTTGAGAGGTTCGTAGTTTTACCTCGTTAACTCATCAGTCCTAGCTTTCAACACCATTTGAAGAACTTGGTTCATTAACGTTTTCACGAGGTCTTTAATTTTTGCACGTTAAAAAGGCTTGTAAAAGCCAATGCGGAACAAGAAAAATGGCTTAACTTTTGAAGTACACAACATATCCAGAAAAAAAGACCTAATCTCAAAAAAAAAAACGCAGTTTTAGCACAATAAGTTTAATTTAATGTTGCAGGAGTTAACTACAGTAAATAAAAATAAATAAAGTGTCAGTTAAACGTATTATATTTCAAAAATCGAGACATCCAATTTGAGCTCAATGGCAAAACAATGTAAAACTCTACTTGCTACCACTACTCTTTACCTATACCTACCTCATTTTTTGTTAAGGTGTAAGGGTGCCTATTTTTTACTTGCATAATTTCATTTTTATGCACCGTCGCTATGTTTAAACTGGAGAAACTTTAATTTTGTCCTGTGTTATCTCCCCGAAGCAACTGCTATACAGTAATAATTTATGAGGAGTTTAACAGTTCGCGATGCACTTGTAATTATAACCAACACATTGACGTCATGCCATACGGTCACAGATAACATAAGTATCTTTGTGTGTGTGTTTAGAATGAGACAGGATTCGCGCAATAAAAAAAGTAATTTCGTTTGTCGATATAAATGAAAAATAAAATTCTTTTTACTTGTTAACACAGGATAGATGTAAGGTCTAGGTGTCCCATGAAATTTAGTTTTCATTTTGAATCGAGAAAAGTTTTAATCAACCATTATCATTATTTCTCTAAATGCGCTTATTGCCTAAACAACGGGCCTCGGTTCCGATTTCTGTATTGGGCAGAATTATTGGTTTTTTTATCATACTCTGTAACTGTACTCATGTATTAGCAAAAAGTTACATTGCCTATCCTAAGCTAAACAATATTTTTATGGCAAACACAGACAGCCTTAGCGTGCGCCTTATTCAACCGGCCTATCCGTGCTGAAAAATCGATCTACCACCTGAGAAGAAAGTGCTGGTGAAAATAAACTAATTAAATGTCTGCTTGAAAAGTCTTTCTGGATTAGGTATAACTTGAAAATGAACAATAATTCATTAAAATCCTTATTTTAAATGTTACACACCAGACACAAATCGTGATTGGTTGGAGCTGTCACTGTTCGCCTGTCATAATCCGGCTACAGTAGATTTTTTTCATCGGTTAACATTTTAATACCTTTTTTACGATTCTATATTATAACCATAATATGCCATATATGCATATAGTTATTACTCATTAATACGACATTGATTCATAAATAAAATACGTGATTTAAACTAACCTTTTTTTAAACAAATCAATCTTGTCTATTGCTTATTATTTGTTGTCTATAGAGAAAAATTTTGCAATTTAGCATTATCTCGCTATTCCCTTGTTGTTATTTTTTCAAGTTGCCATACAGTCTACTACATAGCAGTCTCTTAAATTAAAAAGTATTTCACATGAGTGTCTGGCCGCGTTTATTTCGTTTTATTTTTCACTGTTCGTTCCCACAGGAGGATACTAAACGATTAATGGCGTCGGAAAAGTTATTTCGCTGACTGATAGAGTGATATTGTTTCGTGGGAAAATGGTATTCTGGCTGTACCCTTATATTCTGTGAAATAATCGAATTTCGTTTAACATTCCTGTTTCTATAACGATTACAGATTTTTCAATTTTGCACTGCACATTTTAATTTTCACGGTTTTATTTTGGAGTGTGTGGTTTGAAATGGAGATTGAAAAAATGCATTTATTTTTTATTTTTTGTATTATAAAACCAGGCTTCCGAAAGGCCGACCAATGTTAAAATCAATTTAACAGGAGATTATAATTTTAGCGTTGACAAGCCTTTCAGAAACCGGATGTTAGTATGGCAAAGTTGTGATAAAATTAATATAAACTTCCTATTTTAAAAAATAAGATGAACTAAATAGTTTGTAGACGTGGCTGTCTGCAACGAATGCGAACAAATTTAAGTGTGTTAGAGCCATGCTTCGGCACGAATAGGCTGATCTTCGACCGGAGTGATACCACGGCTTCACAGAAAAGCGTCATGAAACAACATTTACCTACGTTGTGTTTCGCCATCTGAGTGAGGTTACCGGAGGCCCAATCCTTCCCCCACCCCATCCTCAATCTTCAAATCCCCTATCCTTAAATTTCTAATGACCCTCAATAGATCGGCAACGCAAACCTTTGGTACATGGACGAGTGTCCGTGGGTTACCATCAAAATATCCACCTGATCGTTTGGCGACTTATTACATGAAAAAAAAATGCAGCTCTGCCTGCCCTTTAGCGAAAAAGGGTTAGTTACTGTTGCCGTAAATATAAAGAAACATAAATTAAGGTAACAAGGGTTAAATGGGTCATAAACTTGGGAATAAAACTGCCAGTAACAAAATTCATGAATGGGAAACACCAGCTATGTTCGTATGTTTAGATTTGTGTTTATACGTTAGCTCAGGGTAACGTATGCATAAATACATACATAATACATAATCTCATGTCTGCCGCTTGCTGTCATTCAAAGAAAACTTCGCAATTTATTTTTGTGCTTAGAGATGCTAGAATAAAAATGTATGCATAAAACAAGGGAGCTTTTCAGTTCGCTCAATAAGTGGCTGTCGTTTGTTTAAAACCCTTGTTTGAACTGAAGTAAGCTACACTCAAGTACCTACAATTAAAATTTTCTTGTCATAACTTTTTTAGGGATTAATAGATAGGGTAAACACAAAGTTTTAGTATAAATATGACTCTGAAAAATTTCGTGTTTCAAATACTATGGTGGCCCAGCGATTGAAGCGCCCACTTCTCATGCTTGAGGGTGCGCGTTCGAAACCTGACACGTATCACGCACCAATGTGACTTTTTACAAGTGATATGTATCTACTTTCTATGAATAATTAAGACACCATTACAAGCGGTAAAGGAAAGCATCGTGAGGAAACCGAAACTGTAATTTCTAATTACAACTCTGAAATCGCCAATCCGCCTTCAAAAAGGGTGATTAATGCTCAAACCTCCTTGCGGAAAGAGGCCATGCTCAGCAGTGGGCACATCGTATAGGCTGGTGATGATGAACCTTGAAAAAATGTTCTTAGAAAAAAATATACTTACAACATCTTTGTTTTCGCGTAGGTAATGTCTTTAGTATTATCTGATAATTCTGCTATCCTTGCAAATATATTTCTTTATAAGATATTATCGGTCTTTCATAAACCTATTCAATATTACCCGTGTTTCGTTAGTATGTTTTTTCTTTATACAAAAATGTTGAAAGTGGGGTTAAGAGCTTATATGATGTAGAACAAAAACCAAAATATGTTTTGATTTAAAACGAAAACAGAGTTCTCAGGAGGTTTAATCTACTCAAAATTCAGTTAAACCGCAAGTTTGCAGTTAAGCAGTTATCGGGACACCGGGTACCGTAGCTCGTAGGCATTTGACATAGGTAGGCTCTTTACGTAACGCTCACCTATTTGAAATTGATTTTCTATCTTCATGCTACATATGTGTGCAAGTTATGTACCTTGGAATAGGATTTGGATATTGGATGTGTCTATCCAGGTCATGATAACCTGGATTAAAACAGGCGGTAATTAAACCAAAAAAGGGTTGAACAGCGAACAGAAGTTTGCTTGGTGACTAACGAAATAGGGTTCGCGGTAGCGATAACCTGCCTACGCCACCGCATGTATCGTACTGGTTGGAATAATAAATAAAATATGTAGCAATCATTTTATCGTGTAGGTAATATAGGTTTGTAGCTTTTAGCCTGTAAAACGTAGGTGGTTGAACTCTTTAAACCTTAGATTGCATATCTTCTTCTTATATTCTCAACGAGAGCTAGATGAATGGCGATAAATTAAAAATTCAAAACAAAGCGAAGCAGCGCGTGGGCGGGCGGACGGCAAACGCGGAGGGCGGGCGGCGATCGAAGAGCGCGCGCGGTACCGGGGGCTGAGGGGCGAAGTAACGATCGTGCGGCCGGCCGCAGTCTTCCAGCCGCGAGCGCGCCGCGAGCATGAGCGACGTCGGCACGCTCGCCGCCATGGACGCGTTCGCGGGCGGCGCGAGGCGGAGGCCCTCGCGTCTGCCACCGCCGCCGCCCTTCGTGCCACCGCCACCGCCTCAGCGCCACGACCACTACTACGTGCGCCGCAAGTCTCCTATCCCAAGACATACTGCGAACCTTACGCTGTTCGCCCGTAATAATGGTACCCCAGCACCAGACATCCGCATGCTATTGCACCACACTCACGCACGCATCTTCCTTCCTTTTCAACTCGTGCAATTCTTCCTCCCCCACCCACCCGCAACATGCAATCGCAATGTCAATGTCACGCTCCGCTCGCTGCATGTGTACCCTTTGGCATTTAGGATCTTGTTATTGCCTGTTTCATCAACCTTTAACTATCATCATTCACTAAAACCTCCTGTTTAATCTGATATCTTCTCTTGCTTACTGAAGTGAAAACCTATGATATTTAAGACATTTTCTGATACCTGTCTGATGGTCTGATGCTTGTGCAAAGTGTACCCCGTACTAAAATTAATTATTTAGTGCCACAGTTCTCAACCGTTAGATTAGACCAGACAGCACATGATTTCAGAGTTCTATTAAGTATGTCTCAATCGTCTTGAAACTGATTGTTGAGTCACTTACTCGTTGCCTAAGTCTCGATATTTATTCTTATTATATTTTTATATCTGGAGGCCGACGTTATACTCTCCTTAACACATAACAAATACACTGTTGCGGTTCTAAGCTTTTGTTTCAAACACAGATTTTGGCACAGTATGTTTTTATAGCATAATAATTATTTGTAAGTTTTGAGCTAGGTAGACAATTATTACGATAGATGGGACTTATGTTTCTTATTTTTTCGGATCAGAATTGTGCAATATTTTTCTCTACCACCTTCATAAACCGTGGATTAAAGGAAAATCACCCCACCCCAATTAACATTGTCCCCAACCCAAGCTTATTTTAGAAAATGTTAATGTTTTATAAGAATTCACGTAGGTACCACTGATGAAGTCTAGCGCAAAAGCGATTTCAAAGAAATCATTACAAATCATAATAGTCAGTGAATCGCGAAATGTCGGAAAAATTGCCTCTGAAAATATTGATTAGAAACGCGCTTATTGAAACGAGCTCGCTCTTAGTGAGGAGCAAGGACTGTCGTCTGTCTATTGTATTAAATACAAACTACAACGATGTCGAGGAGTAGTGGATGTTTATGTGAATTCAACGTGTCCAGTAGGCGCCGCGGACGTTGATTGCGATAAATAACGGAGAAGGCAGCTTGTGGCCTTGCGTAACTATTTGCGGCAGCAGTGTGCTTATGAGCGTTGCCGTCAGGTTTGATGCAAGCTACACAGAAACGCCATTTTAATTGCCCCCCGAATGTCAATCACCACATTCCTCCAATAATGACGTCCGCCTGTATAATAGATAACCTCGTCAGTCTCGCTAAAAATATATTTAACGAACAATGTCACTCTTACTTCCTATTTCACCAAGAAATAGACATCTCGGATATTTATTGCTGCACTGATTATACTTACATGCCTAACCATACGAACGGAAAACTAATTTTAATTCAGTAACAGCAAGATCTCGTTTCCGTTATGTCTATAAAAGTAAAAAATATTCTAATGTATTCTCAATGTTGTTATACTTAATGGTAGAGAGTTCCTACAAAGGGTAATAAAGGAAAGCGAAATCATTCGTAGAATTTAGTAAAGTGAAATTCCTGGATATCAGCATTCACTGTCGCGGTATGCCCTTGACCCACCGCTCCCTTTGATTCTGAATATTTCCCGCTGCACTGCGTCGACACTCGGATTTCGAAATCGCTGAAACAGCTGTTTGTTTTCCATTAAATACTGGATGGCTTTACCTTCTCGCAGCAGCTTCTATCTTATTTTTAAAGGCTTTTATTGTTAAAGCGTTCCATGTACATATAAAAATGATGCTGAATTTCACAGAGAATACATGTATCAGATTGATTATTAGAGGTATCTTTAGTTTCATCTACGATTAAAATGTTGAGTACATTCAATATTTTTACAAGTGTTCTGTGTCTAATAATAACGCACTTTTATTACACAGCCACGTGGACTGAGTGTAAACTTCTAAACTTACGACAGATATAAATGCGCATAATCGTAGCGTGCCCAACTATCATTATTATTAAAGTTTGTGTAAAGACTAAGAACGCCAAACTTTAGAGAATTCTATCGAAGTTTACTCTGTCTTAAACTTTTTTCATTTTGCAATTAACTGGAGTTTTTCTCAAAGAGATGTTATTTCACCCGTCACCGCCCGCCCACGTGCCTTTCATCAATGTCGCAAAATGCTTTCTTATGTTCGTCACACAAATTCCTATCTGGCGTTATTCTCGCGTGCGACCCAGTTTGTTGATCTTTCTGTACATAATTTGTTACTGTACATTACTTTTTTGCTTTTCTGGAATTTGTCGCATTTATAGAAATTTTGTCCTACAGGGTGCGGTTTCAAAAATATTAACGCAGATGTTTTCGTCCTCAAAAATATCATCTACCTACTTAATTAATTCAGTTTCGTAGATTACTTATTCGCAAAAATTGCTACATTACACTACGCAAACACGGTACTGCAAACAAAGATTTAATGAACTTAATTATCTTTTTATGTAATAGAAGATGATTTTAAATCCTCATGGAATCTTCATGTGCGTGGGCGCGTAATTTGTTGGAAACACTGAAACATGCAATAAAGTATTCGTTTAACATAATGCGTAGCGTAAACAGGCCAAATACCTACCTGACGTGTCGATGAGTGTTTTCTGTTTTTATCAGACTAAATGTATTTTTAACGAGTGTGGTCTCTCGTTTTACGCGACATGACAAGCGTTTCGAGCATGTGTCCAGCCAGTAAGCAGTCTTGCGTACTCTTGACATTGCCCGCCGTTGTTGTTACACGAGAACGTATCCTTATGGCTGCGTTGATTGACAGCCAAACTGAAATTCATATTTTTTTTCTCTGAAACGTTTGCACAGAATGGGGTGAATGTTAAATGTAAATCTTATTTGTTTACACAAAGTCATTAAACATTAAAAGTCGGACAATTAAACAATAACCTTGTTTTTCTAAGGAGACATCGCAATTGATAGCAGACTGAGGTTAAGATTTGCTCATGATTTATTTTGCCATCTGGTGTTTCTTTATTATCTGCGATTTCGCAGAAATACTGTGTGAGAATTAGTTCTGACTCTGACGAATAAATGAATAACTTTATTTGTTCCAAATTCAAATTGGAAAATTTCAATCACGTCTGCAGCTGTTTACGGCGATGTCATCACTCTTTTCCGTTCGTTTGATGTTGCACGTCGCGTACCCAGCATCAAGAATGTACTTAATGGCCTCCATTTGGCAGGAAAATAGTGAGCAAGACGTTACATGGCAAGTTTACTCTACAGACAAAATATTTGTTTACCAACCTTGTATAGTGAGACTTATGATAATAGCTTGTAAAGTCGTTGCGACTAACAGAATACATTTAAAATCTAAGATGTAGTTGACAAGGAAAGTTTAAATTAATACTAAAAGCTAACTCAGTGCATACAAATAACTTTATGAATTCGAGAGCTGCCGATATTTACACGTGTTCGGGATAGCGGGTAACCTTCGTAGCTGGCTGGAGTGAAGGACGACGTAGGTTACGTAACGCTGCAGCGAGCGACGTCCTCGGAATGTCCGGAGCTGAGGCGGGCGGCCAAGGGCGGCAGCATCGATCCGTCCTCCCGAACCCGACCCGCTGCGCGTCGCTCTAAGCGCTAGCGCAACCTCTCACTCCTTCAAAGCCTGCTAAATACATGTATCCTTACTTTTCTTATTCATGCTGAAACGTAAAGTTTTGTAACAGTTCATTATAACTGTAAACATAATTTATAGAGCACTCGTAAAACAATCAGCAATTATCACTTATCAAGTTGCAAATAGTAATTTTGTTCAAGTTCAGTTCTTTAGATTTAATGTATTTATTTCGTTTTTATAATCCAGATTTTCTGCTTAAAGCCTACGTGGATCATTAGGCTTTCACTAAGGTAGCCTTGATTTACAAGGCTGGGTAATTGTATTTCGATAGAGTAGTATTAGTAGAAAAACGGGAACTGAACATCGAAATTGATTTTTGTTGTAGTTTTGGAATTACGACGATCGAGATGACTGTCATCTTTTAAATAATACATTGAAATTAAGTTAAATTTGAACATACCAACGAAGCAAAGCTTTTATTTAATTTTAAATTTCCCTTCGTCTGGTCCAAGCGTGTCAATATGACCTCCTAGATGACAAGCGACGAGGTCGCACACAGCCTTTGCTGTGCTGTCATTGAAATATTTTACTAATTAGATAACAAACATATGGACTTACTGGCTACAGGGTATAGTACCGAGCGTGTGAAATTCATTAATCAATTCGAAATGGTAGTAAATGTTTGTTGGTTAACTGTTTGTAGTAACTCCTACGTTCACTGAGCGGAACTGTTACTCATCATCATCAATACGGGACAGGGTGTATTTTTACGATCTTGTGTATTTACTGAAATCACTTTTACGCACACGACAAAAATAGCTTCGATTCAAACTATTTATAAACGTACTTCTCAATATTAATATTTTAACGCATGTCATGGTCATCTGGCGGCATCACTACTAAAAAATTTCCGACCAATGACAATTTATGAAAATATTTCAGCACTCATTTAAACTACTGGTCCCATATGAGTTACTTGTTTCGTAATTTTCAGTTTTTACACTGCAACAATAAGACCTATAAAAGATTTATACAATGCATAAAATCTGTCGAAATCAAGTTTTGCATAGTTGATCTATGTTGCAATCGCTAACTAAGCCGTTCGGTCACGAAAATTGCGAGGCTGGCGGTGCCTGGTGCGCTATGTTAAATGTTACCTCACATAGGCGAGGGCCTAATAGCTCTGTTCATTGTGCATGTACCTTATGCACTTACAATGGACACCTGTTAGCGGACCTCCATGGAGCGTCTAACTAACATCAATTATAGGCATGACCATTAGCAGAATTAGATCAAATGATTGTACGAATCCATCTACAACCACTGCGCAGTTTTCGATTTTACTTTCACAAATTCCTCTCGTATTTGCTCATCATTTTTAGTTCTATTTATTGAGTGAATCTCAGTATGTCACTTGATAAAGCTCATTTCTGTTGATAACAGATAAAACACATTCGCATGTTAGACAAATAAATGATAATAAATTATTAAGATGTATAATTATGAACAATTTCCTGTAACCCATTTTCATACGTATGATTTATAACGTAAGTTATGTATACTTTTATCTCGGGAATTATAGCGGCGGAGATGCGTCAATAACACAGTTCCATGGCGAGGCCAAGGCCGACGCCGACGCCGCGCCGTGGTCGGTCCGCTCAGTGAATGGAGGCGCGTGCCTCGCCGTCACTCGTTTATCGACTATTATTAGAATATGGCAATAGTGTACCTAGGAATTCTATATTGCTCATCGAAACTCCAGCTTGTAGTCGGAACAGAAGTGTTCATTTGTTCTCTGAACACAATATTGTACAATGACGTGGACTACAATACAGACAAAATATTACGCGTTTCCAACTGTTTATACCTTACGAGCATTTCTTGGCTCACTGACAAATTCTGCTACATACGTAAAATACCAAGATCGATGACTGTTAATGAAAATTTTAGTAAATCTTGTACCAGTACAAAGCACTCATATTTATCTGGAAAAAATATTTTTGGATGTTATTTTTCTTGCTGAGGGGGAAATAAGAGCAGGCGGAGAACCTACTTCGTTTGTAACCGTATTCATTGGCTGCTGCTTCGATATTTCACGCTTGAAATTGAAATTGTTTTGTTTATGTATCTGTTCTGTTTACCAATCTGTTTTACTGACACAATGAACTAGAACTTCTTACGAAAGCGATAAATATTAAATAGATTATGTACCTATGTTATACCGAATCTAGCTCAATATCCGCATCAAAATACTTTTATTATGATCTCAATATTTTTTTATTATTTTAGGCATAAACGAACTTAAATGTGAATTTAATGTATGAATGAACTACCCTGGTCCAGCGGCTTTGCCCGCAGTATTTGGGTAAAAAGCAGCTTAGGTGTTATTCCAGACTATAATTTATCTACATATCTTTGCCAAATTTACGAAATGATAAGTAAGCAGGAACCTGCTGTTACTAATAAACTTTTTCGTTTGCAGAACCAAAGAAGGACAAATTGGAAAATGGTGGCGAGCTGATGAGGCCTGAGCGACCCAACTCCTTGACTGGCAAGATTCCACGACGAATATGCTACCAAGGAGATGTTGGTACGTACAAAAATCTAGAAAAACTGTTTTAAAAGAGCCGTGTGCGTTTTGAGACACATACAAAATAGTTTTAAAGACATTTTTGGCCATCTACATAATTTCAAACACCGTTTTGTTAGTTTATGAAACTGTTAGGATCGATGCCTTTATCGGGCAAACTTATAATTGGATGGCCAATAAACGACCGTAGGCTTGGCTGTAGCGCATTGGGATTAAAATTGTTGACACTTAAATATGGGACTTTTGGGATTACAGTCGGGGCCGCTCCTTGTAAATGTGTGTCAAATTAGTTTAGTAGATATGTGATCATTAAGTATAACGGTATTCGTATAAATTTTCCAGTGGGTGGTTACGGGTCGACAGGCGACGGCGGCGGCGGTGGCGGTGTCCACGGCGGGCACGGCCACGGCGAGGCGGAGGAGCAGCTCATGCTGTCCGAGCTGCCGGAGCCACCCATCGCACTTTCTGAGATCGGCCCCATCCCGCCGCCCCCCATGTTCAGCTCGCCCAGCCCCACGCGCCACCACCACCAGCATCAACATGCGCATGCGCACGCACAACATCCCCTAGCGCAACATCCTCTCTCTGACTGTAAGTGCCTGTTTTATTTGTGCGTTGATGTTTTATCTCGAAATATTTTATACTCGTTGCCTATTGTTGTGTACGATTTATTGACATTGTAATTAATTATAGCCGAAGAGGAGGACGAACAGGAGGACGATGAAATAGAGCCACTGACACTCGGTGCGGACACGAACCGCGTCGAGGAGATTCCGCCTAAGGAGCCCATCTTCAACGCGGTACCGCTGAAGTCTGCGCTGAAGAAGAGGCCGGCGCCGTCCGCGTCCCCCGCCGCGACGCCGCTGGCCACGCCGCTGGCGCCGCGCCAGGACCACCACCACACCAGCTTCAAGTCAGTACCTCCACTCCGCCACACTCACTTCTACATCTACACTTCCATATCAATACTTAGTGACAAATATTAAACAACTCCTTGCTTTACTTGAGCCATCCATCTGCAGTTTGTAAATAAATTACACTCTTTGATCACGATATTGTCAAAATGATTTTAGATGTTCAGCTTTTACAACCACCCGCTGTACTCCCGTATCGCTAACCCTGCAAAACTTACTGCATAAACTTAAGTTATCCGAAAGTTTACGTTTTATTTGTAACTTGAAATAATTCGTATCATTTTGACGTAATTGTGAACGAGGAGATAGTACAGCTGCAGTTCATTGATGTTCATGATCTCACGATGTTCATAAAATGTTGGGCGTGATAGTGAAAGTTGTTTATTTCCACCATGCGTCGGCGAGCAGGCGGCCGCCGCCTAAACCGAGGATCCGCATATGGTAACAGTTCCCTACGTTATGCAGTGTTGTTGAACCACGCCACTCCACCGACCTCCCGACGGTCCGCTTCGCCTTTAGTCCATGCATCGTGCTGTGCACGCTTCCGACTCTCATCTCTCTCTTATGTTAACTGTCAATGTCTCTAACTGTCCATTCACTAACGCCATTATAATAGATGCATATGATAATGACATACGATTGTGATGCTTTCCACTGACAATTAGTATAAATCAAAGACCAGTACAAAAAGCTGATATAAAACAATATTCCGAGTGGTATGTTTGGACTCGTACATGTATCGTGTGTGCTGTTTAAAAAGTTATGGCTGTTCTATTGTACTCTTGCTCTATACGTCGTTGTTCTATGTTGCATGTACGTGTATTCCCATTATAGTTTGATCATAGATATTTTATTAATTACATTTATTTTGTTATTTCTTAGTTTTCATAACATGAAAGGACGTTACTTGACCTAGTATTAGTTGTGTTATGATTATTTTAATTCTATTCATTTTAGTAGTTATTTATGTGTCAACTTATCAATATTTCTCCTGTTTCTTTGTTATCATGACGAAAGCCTTATATTCTAACTTTGGCAGTGCATACAGGTTCTGTGTTTAAGAATACTAACTAAATACTGTGATCACCACCTCACGGCTCACGGGCACCAAACTCAATACATGTTGAGCACTTGCATGGTTACTGTGCTGGTTGGCAATGCAGCGACATTGTTATGGGTATATTCAACAACACAAATTTGTGATAACATTAATATTTCACATTGTATACAAATATACATAGAACATGATATTCGGTAATGCATTTATAAAGGTTTCATAAAATAAACCTACTGTTCAACTTGAAAATGGATTTTTAACTTAAATATTTTCAAGAAGAAATCAATTCTTTGTTGCAATATTCCAAATGCCTGTCATAGAACCCTTATTATTTTATTTTGATGCATTATCTTGCTTTCATGCAGAAGCACAATGTAAACTTAGCATAAGTTAAAGTTGTATAACTATAAGTAACGTGTTTTATGTGGCGTAGTACCCGGGGGGCGGTGCGCGTGGGCAACGGGCTGGAGAACAAGGAGAACGCGCGGCCGTGGGAGGAGTACGAGTCATCCAGCGAGTCGGACCGCGTCGCCGCCAAGCTGGCGCGCAAGGAGAGCCTCAACATCAAGCTCGCACTGCGCCCCGACCGACAGGAACTCATCAACAGGTACGTGCCGTAACATGGGCTTACAGTGCTTTTGTAAAATAACGGTTATTTGCAAGTTCAGAAGGATTAAATTCGATTTTACCTCCACCTCCTCCTCCTCACGAAAATCAGTGAACCATTCAACCTAATTCATTTCATTAATTCTAAGTTGATTAAGTACTACATGTACTTAATCAACTTACATTTATAATAGAATTGATTTTACACTTCCACCTCAAGTAACTTTCTAAATTACTGTATATCACCTACCACGCAACTCTGCACTACCTAAAGATTGGCAGAAAATGCTTCTAGCGTTATATAATAGAATAGTCCTCCGATATGCAATTTTTATAAAGAATAAATAAATAAATACCATCTTGTAGCGTCTATGAAATATCTCAAGAAAGATTTGCTTAACAATTTGTCTTAATTATTTATACCTTAGTGGCTTAAGGATACTAAATTAATTAACAAACATGATATTGTAAAAACCACACTAACTGTCATGAGTAGTTCCGTTAACATTAGCTTTTTTGCTCGGCTTGGTGACAGATAAAGCAAACATTTAATAATGAAGAAAACTAAACGAACCATTTGCTGGCGACACAACATATTAAATTTTACTTACTACTTGTTTTTTGATTCTGATAATCTCTTAATACATATTTACAAATATTATTTTATATTCCTATATTCCGTAAAAAAACCAGTACGAAATCGGAAGCAGAGTTCTTTACATACCACATTTGTATGTAATTATGGGTTGCAAGTGCAAGCGCCGTGTCACCTAGGGTGGGAGAACCAATTTAATGATCCCCTCCCCCCTAAAATCAATAACTACATTTTACTTGCACACGTTATTACTAGTAAAATGACAAATTCACAAAACGTTGGACCTACTTGCCAAATTGTAGAAAAAATCTGCCGGAACACTCCATAGCAGTTTGTAAAAGAATTACGTGAAAATTACGCAAATTCCTTTGTATGATATCATAGTCACAACACTGTCAATGTCACTGCCTACGTTCGCTTGGCTAATGAGGGCTGGCAGAATAACGTGCTTTACTTACTACGCTATTTGTTTACACCGCTATAATCTAAACAAAATTATCACACATTTACATAAATAAATAAGGCGATATTCGTATTAAAGGGTATTATTAATATCTAGCTAATGTTGAAATCATATTTCTAATTTAGTAATAATAATAAGGAAAATTAAAATTAGTATCATGTTACATCACTGATGACAATCATGCCTAGCAATACAGTTAGTATGTCAATACAGAATATGCAGGTGCAAATAAAAACATGTTTTGACTTAAGTATACTATATTTTGTAACTTTGAGTGGTGAAGTATATTAGATTAATTGTTGGTTAAGCTCCTAACTGCTAAGATGTGTTTAGTGAATTAGAATTCACACGGCCCGATCCGAACATCAACAGTTGCACGTGTAGTATTACGCAACGCGCAGGTCGGCCTAGTAATAGTCCACTCCACACCGTCTGGCAACAATGCACGCCTGGGAGCGTTATTTTAGTCAACACCGTCAAAGTCATTGTTATCAATGTTTTATTTCTTCCTGTTTCCAACAGCTCGCTCTTGGCATTGGCATTGTTGTAATTTTGACTAATACCTATTGGATTGGATAACCGTTTAAAATCTGTGCTTCAGCTCATTATTAGCATCGGAACGAAACACTAAGCCATTATAATAAGCGATTACTCAGCTCTAGAATTCTAGAACAACCCTAATTTATTAATGAAGCCTGCGAGCTAAATTACGGGTCTTGGGAATCAGCCAAGTGTGTATGTTAATCGGATATTATGAAAACATTTTCAGACTCACGTAAGCTTTAGCGAATTTTATATTGTCGGTCGGTTGCCAGTACACGGGAGCAAGTGTATAGGATAAATATTGTCAGTGTTCGCTTCAGCGTGGAGGAGAAAGTAGCGCGTGTTGCGTAGTGGGAACATTGTGCGTTATCTGTGTCGCGATGTGTGCGCAGGAACATTCTGGTGGTGCAGAGTGAGCACGAGCGACAGGAGTCCTGGGAGGCCATCGGCGCGCGCCTCATCCGCCGCCTGTCCATGCGGCCCACCGCAGAGGAGCTCGTCGAGAGAAACATACTCAAAAGTAAGCTATACTGTATACTATCCACATACTACACGTCGGATTACAAAACATACGAGGGTTACATAAAACTTTCATTCGGTGTCGTCTTATAATTCGAACTATTTTCAGTCTTCGACGTTATAGGATAGTGGCATTGAAGTCTTGATTAAGTACAGATCATGTGATACACGTTCGAAATGTTGCGTTTTATGTTTACATAGCAAGATTTGGTCTCGTAAATAAAGTATGTAGTCTATCACAAACTTGGTACTAAATAGTTGAACTGTTACAGGTCAGTCACCCGCCGAAGAGAAGAAACAGAAGGAGGAGAAGAAACGTTATCTGTTACGCAAGCTCAGTTTCCGACCCACTGTCGACGAACTCAAAGAGAAGAAGATCATCCGCTTCAGTGACTACATTGAAGTCACGCAGGTCAGTCTTGACACATTTCAATATTTTGTTTATTTTAAAAAGGCTATACTTATTTATTTGTGAATTATCAATAAATTCTCAGAAAATTACTGAAAATACAGTCTTAATGCGCCATTTATGAATGTCATAAAGAATGAACAATTGGTATCAAAGTGTAATTGACGTGCATCGTAAACTTAGCCTAAACAATCTAGGAAACAAATAACAATGCATTATATTCACGTCACAATCAATCAATGCCAACATTTATTGGCATGCTTGAAGTAAATAGTTTCGTCATCTTTCAATCACCTTTGACAAATCTTTTTACTTCATCAATTTTTGCTTTGAATGATTGTATATTTAACAAATGTTCTACAGATTCATTTAATTTTCTAAAGTAAACTTCGGCACCGATGTAGATAACAGTATTGACCAGTTGATCTAAATATTTTAGAGAAAATTGTGTTATGCTGATAGCATAAATGGGCAAACAGGTCTTTTATATCATAAATTAATGTAAATCCATGATCGTATAGGATAATTAACATGATACCAGTAGCAAGCTACATTATTGCCTGGTATGGGTAATACCAACAAGTATTGGATTTGTAGTATTTTTAAACCAGAACACAATCCTTTCTGATATCTCAATCTGAATGTATCTTTGTATCATTTCTTTTTTCACTTATCGAACGGTATATTTGTCCAGGCGCATGACTACGACCGTCGTGCCGACAAGCCGTGGACTCGTTTAACTCCCCGGGACAAGGCTGCTATCAGGCGAGAGCTCAACGAATTTAAGAGTTCGGAGATGGCTGTACACGAGGAAAGCAAGCACCTTACCAGGTATGAACATATTGTCTGTTATGGCAAATCATGCGCGGACGCTTGTTAATCTTGGGCTGGTTCTGACTGCAATGTCTATTGCGCAGGTTCCACCGACCATGACGGCCGAGGCTCGTGGGCGGGGCGCGCGGCTGAGTGTGTGCGCCCAGCGCAGTGGGCGCAGTGGGCGCAGTGGGGCGCAGTGGGCGCGGTTGGGCGCAGTGGGCGCAGTAGGGCGAAGCAGGGTGCAGTAGGGCGGCAGCACGGCATTTCGTGCGACTCTCGGCTCGCCGCCTGTTCCCGACCACCGGCCGTGGCCGCACTTGTGATTTTTAATGTTATTTATATTGACTTCTTCCGTTTTCTGGAAGATTTGTATGCAATAACTTACCAGAACGCATCGGTAAAGTGTTGAATATTCTAAAGTTGCGTTGTACCGCCGTTTCGACGTTACGTTTTGTACATGCGTACCGAGAGTGCAATTTTGTTTTTTAATTTACCTACTATGTATCGTAGTTATTGCCGAGTACAATTATTGTCATTATGGTATCGTTTATTATAATTAAGTTGACGTATTCTAAGCATAACTATACATTCTTTGAATTGACCTTCGAGAAAGGTTAGTGATACTGTTTATTGTGGTGGAGATTATGCGCTTTCAAACTATGTGAATTGTATGTAACGTTTACACGTGAATTATTTTGATATGTGAGACGTATCCGACATATTGTATTTTTTGTAAACTTGTGATTTTTCTTATATTGCTAGCTCTTAGCTCCGTAGTCTTTAAGCTAGATTTCAACTTGAAATATTTATTTGGCATTAATCGACACTGTATTATGTTACGGTCACAAATTATTTTTCTCTTTGTGTGTCGTATTATGGTAAGGTAGACTTGATCACAACACAATTTTCGCCCCCTAGCGGCGCTAAATGCAATTTTTTTTTAAGTACAGAAATCTTTTTTACGTCACGATAAAATGGTGAATCTTTCTTAATTACATTGACGAGTTGCGGCATTTCATAAAGTTCAAGTTTAGAGATACTACCACAGAGTTTCAATAAATTGTTTTACACTTTTAGTGAACTGGAAAACGTATAATAATTTGTATAGTATCAGTGGTTTCCAGATAGATTTTGTAACATTTTGTTGAGATGTGAGAATAGGTGTTATATTGGTAAGACACGGTTAAATAAAGCGCGTCCTCTGTGAACTTTTTATATTGGAATGTTAATTTGATGTTGTTGATGTGCTTCCAACGTACGTAAACACTCTCACCGATCCTAGACTCTCATTTGTTACGGCCAACCGTTCCATGTACCCTGTTTATTTGCTCAAGTCTAGCCAAATGCAAAATTATATACTACTGCCACTAATATATCACCTATTATCTCCTGAAATTACATTTTAATATTAATTCCTGTAAACTTTGTATCAATATAATAATCAAAACATAGTTTGCCATGAAGGCGTATGCATTGTAGTAAATATAATTTACTGTATAAGTGAATAATTCCATAAATACTTATCAAATGAACAATAGCTAAATAAACGAGCACCATCTGAACAGAGGCAATTAATTTGTGATTATTCGATAAGACTACTGGTCCAGTTATGAGATTCCTAAGTACAGGGAAAACTCAGTGATTGTAACTCACTATAGAACACTGTTGTTATTAATATGACACTGAATATTGATGTTGAGCTCAATGTAAAGTGTGTTAAATAGTTAGGCTTTATTATGTCCATCCTGACGTGACGATTACGAGCAACCTCGGCGGGAACAACTTGTTATCACTTGTCGCTCTAGCCTAGCTCTAGTGTAAGGTATTCAAACGTTGAACGAACTAAATCACTAATTAATGATTCAATAAGCTATTATAAAGCTGTAGCTGTTAAATACATTATTGTATGTACGCCTTCTGAGATTAACAGAGATTGTTTGATGAAGTGCCGATACCACCGCGGGTGGACTCGACAGTACAGAGAGCAATAATCTGCTATCGGCTTGTTTGGTTGACGAGTGACATTATTTGAACTAGTGTTGGAAACTTTTTATATTACTGAATAGATTAATTCTTCTTAGTGTAACTAATAGATAGGAATCAGTTATAAATATTTTTTAAAAGCGACGTATTGTTCAGTAGCGGTGCCATTTCGTGTGACGTGTTTGATGAGTAAGTCATCCCGGTTCTGAGTGCGACCATTGCGAGCGGCTCGGGCCGTGTTCGTGCTGGAGTCAATTTGGTGACACGAACTTTGCATCAGTCTGAATGTTTTCATTACACGTGTTTTGTATAGCGATTATTCTGTTAAGTCAATGCGTAATAACAGTACATTATACACGACGATTGTAGCAACATACGAAAATGTTGATCTAATGGTTATTCTGACGACCATTCCATTATAGAATAAAGTGGAAGCCAAAATGACGACTTATTTTTCTAAACGATTTTGTTAGATTTGCAATTAAAACTAATAAGGTAAATCGTAGATGTTTATCGATATATTATATTACTTGATAAGACATACAGATTTTCCAAAGATCTAAGGCTCAACTAAATTCTTTTCACTAGCTAACATGTTATGACATCTATTGTGTATGTATGTGAAAAACTTGTCATCGACGCTCGGCCACTGGTGCACGAGTGCATTATGTAACTTGAGATATTATTTTTATAAAATCAAATGTGATATAATTATTTTAATTTCTAGTGTTTAATTTGATAACACTTTTTGCATACATATTTATTCGATTATTTATTATTAGAAAGAAATGATGTTGATGTTGCTAACACTAACTTTCCTATGGTTTCACCAATATTAATCAAGTATTTTCACAGTGCAAATAGTACCACAAACCCTGCAATGTTTCGCATCGTAGAGCTCTTCGTGTAATAAATAATTTAGTATATCTCACAAAGTATTTTGATAACAAGTGCAGGGGAACTGTTAAATATTGACTTGAACTATTTTTCCATGTTTACACTAACGGTGTACGTAATATTGTACTAGTAGGTATACGTATAATGTACCACACTATATTTCTGTGACGCTAAGTATATTTATGTATCAGCTGGTTGAAAACTGTATCGGCCGCTCTCCTGTTTGCTTAATGTTAGTCGATAGATAAACTATTCGTGAGTCTATAAAACAGACCGAGGTCACAATCATTTCGAATTTCCGTCGACAAATATTAGCAAGCTTGCAAGCTCCGCAAAATATGAATCTAAAACCAACTACGACATAAATAAATAATCCATGTATTGCGATAGAGTTTTTAAATCAATTATATCGATAAACATTCTTTTAAAATTATGTCTGTATATAATTTTATTATAATGTTAATTATGGAATCTCTCATTTCCAATAATATCGTTCATAAATTTTTGTGCTATTTCAATTTATTATTGCTAATCTTCAGTAATCTGTATACTGTTGCTTTTATTTTAAACATCATGTAAATTATTAATGACTTGTTGTAATGAGTATATATTGATAGCTATAAAATTACTTGTTTTATATAAAAGTAAGTCTGTAAATATCATAATTATACATTAAGTTTTATACAATATTGTTTTTGTTTCTAACCCCCAACCCTGAATTGAAACATTGAGTTATACATATTATTATAACAAACAGTAATAAAGTGGGTAAACACAAGTAAAACTGGAATTTTTGTATACTGGAGCAAAGCGAACTATTGTTTTGGGGAGGTTTAATGGAATATTAATGAAGGCTTTGACCCGTGAGGCTGCGGCGGCGCGGCGATGGCGTCGACTTTCGATGGCGCTAACTTATGGTCGTGCGACTGGCTGGAGAGAAAGTTAACTGTAGTGCGTGCCCGTTACCGCGAGACGCTCGAGCCGCGCCAGGCCGCACTCAGTCCGCGCCGGCCAGCCTCGCGCCTCACTGCAGCACCGCCGCGCGCGCCGGTCGTGCTTAGCTTTATCCGACGAGCAAACAAAAACATAACAGAAAGTGACAGTGATCGACAAAAAAGTTTATCCAGAAAGTCGTGAATATAGTGTGTGTAGTGACTGGGGTCCATGCGACCTGTGCGAGAGGTCACGGTGTGAAAGTGCAACGGCCGGAACAAAGGATCATTGCTATGACGTTCTCTGGAAATATGAAGGAGAGTAAACCGCGAGCCGGGAAAGACGCATGGGAGTCGGAGGTGAGTTGAACACTGTTTTCTAATTTCTCATGCATGTGTCGCAGCCGTAAGTTTTATTGACACGCGTGGGATCAATGGTATTGTTATGGTATCAAAAGATTTCATCTCGCTTAATTATTCGTGTGACAGTTACTATCTGTTTTTAATCGCTACTTTCTCTTTAATTATAATAGTTGTCACATTATATTGTGGAGGAGATTGTCGTGTGAAACTTAACGACATCCTTTGACTCCTTTGAGCAACATGACTTTACTAGACTTAATGAGTTTAAAATAATATAAAAATATTGTATCAACAAAAGAAGCCTGCCTTAAACGCTTTTCTATTTGTTTGTAATCCTAAGAAAATATACTTAATAAATATTATTGGTGATTACATGGTGGTGATTTAACAATTCTATTAAGATAGAAAATTTCACATTGTCAAATTGTTATCAACACATTACCTATAAGTGCAATTTCCCAGATTCAACAATTCGATACACCTGCTTGTACCTACATAATAAATGTGCATGTTTCTACCTAAATCGATTTCGATTATAACGATTGGGCTTTTTTAATTAATAACAATGGTAGAGGAGCAATGTAAATGTATGAAACGTTTAGCTCGTAACTTTTGTAGATAGGTACGCTTCGAGATACACAGGAAAAACCTCGATCCTTTTCCTGAGTTTTTCTTGATTCCGTTTGGGATATTGGAAAGTTATGGGTGCACTTTTCGTGTTACGCTACTATGGGTAGGTATTGAACTTCCGAGCATGGTATCAACAACTATTATCGATGTGTTTTATTTTCCAAAAGGGTCAGTATATTTACTCAATGTAAGTTATGTTTTTGAACTATTGTAAAAAAGAACAACTTTATTTTTGATCCAGGAATAAACTAGAAAATTGCTCAGAAGTCGCACTACTCTACGTCTCTTCCCTACCTCGTACTTTCGAGAGAACTATAAGTACATTTTAAATACTTTAACAGCATTTAGCAAACGGTTCTATTAGTTATTATTTTTGACACCGTATTGTATGTTAATTGTTATGAATTCCTGTTAGATGCACAATGTGTGATGACTAGAGCATCTTTTGTTCGTTTGTCTCGTTTAGGTATATGCATTTGGGGCAGGCTCTCCAAGATGTAAATGAGTAAACATTATTATAAATCTGAAATCTATCAATTAATCTATTACATACTTATAAAACTAGTACTTATATGATGAATAAATGGTATGCATTCAAACTCCTGACCAGGTAATAAACCTTTCTTAAAAAAAATATGGAAATATGTATTATCTATAGTCTGTACTATAAAAAGAGTTATTTACTGTTTGATTTAATTGGAAAGACTTCTTAATTACGGTAATGGGTTGAGGAGAGACCGCCCAACTTATCTACCGCAGCCATGGCTCCGATCGAAAGTCAGTACGGGGTAGTTACAGTCAGGAAGAGTCTGAAATTTTCACAGATCTTAAATTTTTGAGGCAAGATGATACTTTAGTTGCTTTCCCTCTAAAGCCTCATACTGCAATGTTGATTAACCATAAAACTTTTTAATTTCTGTGTCGTCGACGTCCTGTAAAACCGGCATAAGTTGATACTAATTGCTAGATTTCTCTATGTCTAATAGCCTGAGATATAAGTATATTATATACTTAACTTACTTATAAATATAGTATCTTATATACGCGAGGCGAACTTAACTTACCTAACTTGTTCAATAGGTAAGTATGCTGGGAATAAAATATTAAATGTTCATAAAAATATTTTTTTTAGTTTTTTGTGCATAGAAAACATCGAACAGATACCTAGGTGTTATTTTTTTCAACATTGTTCACGCAAAACTGAGCATGTCCAAGGCATAACAGTTGTACCTTGGACATGACCACAGCAACAAAAGGTTGCTGGTGGCCGAGCCGCGGTAATATGAAATTTATTCAAATACGTTTTTAAGATATTGCAGTGACTTTTTATTTCCCTTTTTCATCCTTTATACACACACACCCTTCTTGTGTTCACGCGATATACATAATTTCGAACGTAAAAATTCCCAAAGTTGACGGTCTTCGTTAGTCATGATACTTGTCAATGTATTTGCAACGTGAATCATCATATACATAGCTACATACATAAGTGCCTACATTACATGGTCTATGGTCTATGCCTAGGTGCATACATACAAGATATATAGGTAGGTGCATATACTATGTGCTGTTAATCTATTGGATTACTAATGGCCTCGAAAATTAACTTTTTGATCGTTTCTCAACTGCGTTGTGGTATTGATTTATTAGGTATTGTACAGTCCATATTTATTGACATTTAGATATATTGCGCTTAGTGCTGTAGTGATCAATTAACTTTTCTTCGTGGGTTCACACACATTCTCCATTATGTATCTTCATCATCCATGAAAACAGCACAATAACGATCTATTTGTTATTTCACGATTTTCATTTTAAGCATAAACGAGCAACATGCATCGTATAGGTATATTTACAAGACGAGTAAATTATTATTATTATTGTTGGTTCTTTCCTTTCACGGGACCACAGGGTCCCGGACCTTTGGAAGGCATACGAGGAGCCGAAGCCAACTCGCAGAGGCCCGTTGAACAATTTTAATCTAAATGCGATGGGACATCAGCCGGCAATTATCCCTGTATGCACTATAAAAGTGCACCCAAGGACAATCCCCGGTTGATGCAGGACTATTGTAAAATTAATAGGGTTATGGGTATGGGTTGCTATGCACTAGTGGATGAAAACTATGGAAATACTATGGCCCCTGCCCCTGACCAATATTGATACATACGGATAAACAGGCAGGGGGTGACTGGCAAACTCAATTAATGGGCCCCCGGAAACGGCCGCTAGCATGTAGCGACAAGGAGGCAACATACGTTGAGCTGCTTGGGGAAGGAGAGGCATCCCACGGCTATCAGAGCAATCCCGGAAGTACGGTCAAGACCCCTACCAGCACCTTACTGAGATACATCCTTCCCCTGAGTCTCCTTTAACTCCTACTCTTGCGAATCTCCACTCAAGCCAGCCAATTAAGGCAATAATGAGGTAGGAGGGTTTGTTCTTCATCAGTGTTCACTCCAGCTCGTCACGAGGACTAACTGGAGAGAAAAGAACAAGACACCTCCCGGGAGTCAGGTCCGTGGGGTCGCCACTGCCCAACAGCTCGCCACAAGCTGCCTTTATTATTATTATTAATTGTTTATTTTCAGCCATCAAAACTATTTTTTTGTTAGTAGTATTTTACATGCTAAAAACTTAAACACTAGGATTAGTAATAATAATTGCAACATACATTAGTGGGTCATGAACTTACGAGGCACCTCAGGCGGACAATGATTCCTCATGAGGTGCCTCAGCACAGGAGCTGTCGGATCCTCGGCCACGACTTTCAGAATGCTGTTGTCACTCTCCCGAATCCTCCCCACAAGCGATGCCACTTTTTTTTCTGAAAATCGCATAAAAGTCGTCCGTATGTGATTGGGCAAACATCCCCGAGGCACTACAGAAACGAGGGAGTTTCAACATCATCCTGAAAACATTATTATATTGGACGCGCAAGGCGCCTAACGTCCCACGCGAGCAGCTGAGCCACAGACTTCCCGTATACAGGCCTTGGCAGTACGCTTTAAACAAAGTTATTTTGACCTGATCGGTACAACGAGAAAATCTGCGCGCCAACATGTTCCCGCGAACCGCCAACGCCCTGCGCTCCCTCTCCACATCCTCATCGTCTTTAAGGTCGTCGACAAGTATATGGCCCAGATATTTGAATTTTGTCACCTGTTTTACATTTGAGCCGTGCAAAGTAATTGAAGGAAAGGTTTCAGGGCACTTGCCGGCGGCTTTAAAGTCCATGAACTCGGTTTTCCTTACATTGTACACAAGACCATGTGATGCAGCGTATTTTTCGCAAACTTTAAGCATCTCTCTAATTGACCTTGCACTCGGGCCCAGCAGCACCATATCGTCCCCCACCCGGCAACCGACACGCATGCCGCTGAGCTCGACTATAAGGTCGTTTATGTACAAGTTGAAAAGCTTTGGAGACGACAACCCGCCTTGTCTCACCCCGCATTCCAACCCGTACGACTTTGAGAGACAGTTTGACCACCTGACACAATTGGTCTGCTTCGTGTACCAGTATTGAAATAACTTCAATAGTTCCGCAGGTATACCCCTGTCTCTCAACTTCCTCCAAAGCACTTCATACGAAACGAGGTCGAAGGCCCTGGAGAGATCCAAGAAACAGGCGTACACTGGCGTCTTCCGTTCACTGTAGTACTGGACAGTGTGCTTAAGTGCCAGAATCGCGCTTTCAGTAGACAATCCCGGTCTAAACCCGAACTGTGCGTCATGTATGTTTATGTACTTATCCAAACAAGACTCAACCACACTATCCAACACTTTTGCAACAGTTGTCGCGAGAGAGATGGGGCGATAGTTTCGTTTGTCCGATATGTCTCCTGTTCTGTTCTTCAAAATGGGCACCACTGTCGTTTTCATCAATTCCTCTGGTAAGTATGAATGACTGATGCACAGATTGAAGAACATGGACAGGACCCTCGGCACATGCACACCTGCATGTTTGAAAAAAGATGCTTTAAAGCTAAGAACAAGGTCCTATCTCTTTTTCTAGAGCTTTCCCACAATCTAAAATTTTCTTTTATTTCTTTTTTTGTATTCATTTTCTAAATTTTATAGAAAAAATAAGTTTCAATTACATACTTTCGATGTTATTTTTACCTAAAATACCCCGATTTTATCACTGATTCGCTCACCGATGATCATCAAAATTCTGATATAGGTACTCTCTTAAGTCATAGCAATGACGATATAACCACTACTCTTTGAGTCATAGAAAGCTAACATTTGGTTAGTAATTTAATAGGTAGGTACTTACAAAACAACACAAAAATTCTTAAAAATTAACAAGTTTGTAAGAGACTTCCACAAGTTTCATTGCTAAAGTCTGAAAATAGCATAAA